CCCTCTCCGCCCTCAGGCCACGCCTCGACTGGCGGGCTCCGGCCTTCGGTTGAGCCGGTTTCGCGCTCCCTCCCTCCTCCCCCCCCTGCACGCGCCGCCTCCTAGTGAGCCTAGGGCGCGCGCTGAAGGGGCTGCGGCTGGGGCGGCGCGCGGTGTCCCAGAGGAGTAGGGTTGCTGGAAGCAGGCTGGTCGGGGTCTTGCACGTAAACGATTGCACCGCGATTGGGATCCTGGTGTGGAAATTAATGCAAAGTAGGGCGGGATGTTAATTAATGCAAAATAGGGCGGGATCTCGTATGTTAATACAAAGAGGTAGGGGTCTTGGATGGGAATAAATGCACAGCAGGTCTTCCAGGTAGACTAGTGTACAGCGAGGTGTGATTTTGCATATGCAAAGAAGCGCCCCATGGGGCAGCGGTCTTGCATATAAATAAATGCAGCCGGGTAGGGTCTTGCATGTAAATTACTGTGTAGAGAGGTGGGTTATTCTGTGCAAACCAATGGATGGGGCGGGATCATGTATCCACACTCAGTATATGGACAGGCCAGCTTTATGCTTGTAGCTGTGCCGATAATGTCTGGCTCTAGTTGTTAATTATGTATTCCTTAATAGCACAAGTCAATTAAGGTATGGTATTTTAGTTCCTCCTCCCCCCTGCAAAATTGCACTGGAGATAATATCTGTAAATTAATGCATGTCATTTAGTTGGTAAATACTGACTGAGCTCTTTTAAATTTTTATCTAATTATTTGCATTGGAGGATATTACTTGGAAAATTTCATGGCTATTATTTATATTTTCTAAGATATTTCTCCTGGGGGTAACTAATTCACATTTACACATAATATATTTTTAATATTTACATTAGTTATTTGATTCTACTGGTTTTAATTGGAATGCAAAAAATGAAAAATTTCAGATGTTTTCAATTTGTGTCAAGCAATTATATGAAAAAGCAATGCAGTATTTTTAATTGTGGTTTCCAGTTATTTGTACTGGGAGGTATATTACATACAAGTTAATAGATTTTTTTACTCTCTTAAATTGAATATATTGCACATAATGCATATCTTAATTTTATTGCTATTTTCAAAATTTAGGCTGCATATATTGTTTCTAAATTAATTCTGCAATCATTTGTACCCAGAACATTGCATGCATGATGCATGCAATCCGTGAACCTAAACAATCTTGCATTTCTTTGACATGACTTATAATTGTTTTCCAGTCACTTGCTTTGGAGGGGTATTAAAGTAGCTTTACCTGCTGCAGCCCAAAACAAAAAGAAAGGAAGGGAAATTGTGTCCTGCAGAAGTATGTCAAAGAGCAGTTTAATGGCAAAGCTGGTTAAAGAAGATATAGAAGTCAACTGTCTTTACTTCTGAATGGCATATTACACTGGAGTTGCTGCCTAATTAGCTCATACACAAAGCTCATTCTGGAGTTTCGCTTACGTATCTTCAGAGAAATCTAATCATTTGATCTGCCATATATTAACATCATGCTTCTCTAGCACCTTTTCAACCAAGGATATTTATTAATTAACACTCACAGCCACTCCCTTGAGGAAGGTGCAAGTGTCATTGACATTTAATACAAGTGAAACTGAGGCACACAGGTTGTATACTCTGTCAACCAGCAAGACTGTGGCAGGGTCAAGAACAGAACTGATAACTCCTCTGTTTTTAATTTTCTGTCCAGCATTAGCAGGATCATTTTCTATCCTCCTTCAGCAAAAGAACCTATGTGTCCTGCCTCCTATTCTCATCCAGCATGAAGAGAACCCAGGAGTCCTAACACCTGCTCCTTTGCTCTAGCCACTAGACCAGACTTGCCCTGAAAGCCTTGCACCCACACCAGTGCTCTAACCACTCAGTCCCATTTTCCCTCCTGTTTTCTCCACCATTGCTCCCAAGGCCTGCAGTTCTCCTTCAAGCCAGGTTCGATGACCTTTCAAGGTCCCTTCCACTTCTAGGAGATAGGCAATCTCCATTATAATAATTGTGAAGAAGAAGGAGTTAATTGTTGCACTGAATCTGTCCCATTTGCCCTGGTTGGTTGTGGTCCTTTTCTCTGCAGGTGTTGGGTGAGTAACCATCCAACTCTCTCTCCTCTGTTTGTGGTTCAGCAAGGGAGGACTTGGAAAGAGATCTAGCGAGCTGCTTGAGGGATTGTTTGGGGCGCGGCAATGAAGTTTCCAGGAGCTGCTGTGAGAAGCAGACTGTCTCTTTCTGAGAGCTGAGCGGAAGAAAGAAGCTAGTCGGGGTTTTATGTTCGTGCCAGCTCACTGCTGCGTGTGAGAACAGAACTGGGGAAGAGAGAGAGAGCCTCACAAAGCCACATGAGGAGTGGGGCAAGAGCTCCCCTGCCCTATTTTGCTTTTTTTAACAGAGCCTGTAGCCCCAATTTGCAGCAGGGAGACACTAACCCCTCCTATAAAAGCATGACTGGGGTGGAAAAAGTGAATAAGGAAAAGTTATTTACTTATTCCCACAATGTAAGAACTAGGGGTCACCAAATGAAATTAACAGGGAGCAGGTTTAAAACAAAAGGAAGTATTTCTTCACTCAGCACACAATTAACCTGTGGAACTCCTTGCCAGAGTATGTGGTGAAGGCTAGAACTTTAACAGGGTTCAAAAAAGAGCTAAATAGATTCATGGAGGTTAGGTCCATCAATGGCTATTAGCCAGGATGGGTAGGGATGGTGTCCCTAGCCTCTTTTTGTCTGGAAATTGGTGACAGGAGAGGGATCATGTGAGGATTATCTGTTGTGTTCCCTCCCTCTGGGGTATCTGGCATTTACTGTCAGGAGACAGGATGCTGGGCTGGCTGGACCGTTGGTCTGACCCAGTATGGCTGTTATGTTCTCCATGCTACATCTTTCTGAGTATGGGCACACAAATTCTTCCATTCATCCATATAGATCCATGTTGTCCAACATGCTAGCCACATGTGGCTATCTGGCCGGTTGAGTGTGGCTAGTTCACTATAGCAGTTGCCACTATAGTGCCTTCAGAACTGGTTGGACACCATAGATCTAGATAGTCACGGGGCCGGGGGGGGAGGGGAGCTTTTGTACTTAAGCATGTCAAAGTCTTCCATGTATTGATCCTCAGAAATCCCTTAGAGGGTAATGCTATTGTCCCCTTTGTGTGGATGGAGACCTGAGGGCACAGAAAGAGTTTTGGGGACATTTTCATGAACTCTGAAGTCCCTTAGAGTCCATCCATGATGCAGTACATACACCCCTCCACTCCATGGCAGTGAGTCTCTGAACCCAGTACAGCTGATTCAGTCTTGTGGGGCTAAAAACAGCAGCATAGACATTTGGGCTCAAGCTGCACCCTCCTTCCTTGCCAGGTTTCGGAGTCTGGCCCCCAGCTTGAGTGAGCACAGATCTAGGGCTGTCAATGCAGCCAGGCCAGGATCCCGTCTGCCCCTGCTTGGACTGCGCCGGGGCTGGGGCAGCCATGCAGAGTTCTGCCCATACCGGAGCTTGGTAGGGCAGGAGCTACCGCTTGCCCCTGTCCCAGGCTGCAGGACTGGGGCTGCCAGGTCTGCCATGGGGACCGCTGCAGACCCACCTGCTGCCCTGTCCTGGTTCCTGCTACCGGGCCCAGTTAACCAGTTACCTACCATGTAAGCCCGGGGTCAGCAACCTTTTCAAACCAAAGAGCCAAACTACATCAACATTCAGAACAAGTGGTCAACAAAGAGCCAGTACAAGAATGCCCATGTGCAAGACTGAAGATATACAACTTAATATTATTGATTAATAATAGCATACATGAAACATTGTCCTCACAGACTTTATTTAATGGGACTTCCACTACTGCATCTTTTCACAGGTGCCACAGCGGGGAGAGGGGCTGCCGCCAGCCCTTCCTGTAGCCAGATGTGCCTGCCTTAGAATTGGGGCTGGGGACAGGACCCTGCAGCCAAATGGAGGCTGGGCCGCAGCCCAGGCTGGACCAAGCTGTTGCAACAGTCAGTGGCGGCAGGTTTGTATAATTTTTGGTGGTGCCCAGAATGGGTCTAGTCCTCCCCCACCTGCCCTGTAAGCCGATTTACATTATTTAATAAAATATATAAATGGACTGGAAACCGTAAGTGTTTAACAGTTTCCCTTTATTGAACAATATCACTATCATAAGAAAAAATTATTTAACTAAAAATATCAACGTTATTGATACTCTTTTGAATATGGAAACAACCAAGCGCTCTTTGACCAATAACCTTCAAAAGCAAATACTTTCTAAAATTAAAACAACTATAGCCCCTTCGTTTGCAATGTTCTTCAGGCCCCCACCCTTCTGGGAGCTGTAGGAGGTGTTTTTTCCATATATAACAGATTTTGGAACAATATTTTGTATAAAATTTATTTCTCAGTCGTTGGAGAAAATTGGTTTTACTACGTTTTTATTTATTGCAATAAATGACAAAGATTGAGTAGGGTCTGAGTGCAGACATTCTCATCTATCCTTTTTTTATAAAAAACCAACGAAACGTTCCCTGAGTATAAGTTAGCTAATTTGGCACCTTTTTTCTTACATAAGAGCTTTGCTATGGCTTGTAGATTGCTATCAAAGTGCATGTTGGAATAAGATTGAAATATTTCAATTAAAAACTCTTTGTTCATTTTTTCACTTCTCGTAAATATTTTGACCTCCCATGTTTCTGCTGTTGGGTGAATTGTATTATCTACAGCATCTGAAGTCATCACCTGGAGCATGTGAAACCAATATGTAGGGCCTTTTAAAGCTCAGTTAAAATTGATATTTGCACAGAATTTAAGAGGACACTGTTGTTTAATGAGTAGTTACTATCTCAAACATTTACTGAAAACATTTCTCCT